TCTTTGTTCTAAGATGTCCTTTGATAGCTGTGAACATGTAAATTGAAGCAGCATGACAGTGAGCAAAAGTGGTGGAAACTGCAGGAATACATACCTGGACAGTTTCAACGTACATGTTCTTTGTTCTAAGATGTCCTTTGATAGCTGTGAACATGTAAACTGAAGCAGCATGACAGTGAACAAGGGTGGTGGAAACTGCAGGAAGACATACCAGAACATTGTTAACTTACATGTTCTTTGTTCTATGATGTCCTATGTTGTTCTAAGATGTCCTTTGATAGCTGCAAAAATGTAGTTTGAAACAGCTTGACAGTTAACAAAAACTGCTGATTCTGCTTTGACATGTTGAGAAATGCCATACTATTCAATGAAGCCTCAAAAATGTAACTTACATTTTTAGATAAATGAAGTTACATTTTTCTGACCTGTTGGATGTTTGACCAATTAAGAAACCTCACAATTGTAAGTTACAATTTGTCAGGCAAATTCGTTTTTGTAAGTTACATTTTTGAGGTATCAAACCTAGGAAATTGTAACTTACAATTAGGTGACCCCCCTAGGTAATCGGTAGGTTGCGGTAGGTTTTTTTAAATTATGGTTATGAGGATTATATGGCAGTTATGGTAATTGACGGATGATGGATGATGACGATGATGGTGGTGGTGATGGTGATGATCATAAGTATTACGATGTTTATTATCATGGCTTGATAACTGATGGATGATGTGATGATGATGATGATGGTGGTGGTGGTGGTGGTGATGGTGATGGTGATGGTGAGGTTGTTGTCGTTGTTGCATGTTTCTCTCAGGCTGCAGAGCTTGCTGACCATCGTGCCTGGCTTGGGGAGGAACTTGAAACTTGGACGGTGCAAAGGGCAAAATCTTCAGACCTTTTGTAGAGCGACACATTTGTAGGGCGGATGGTTCGACATATCGTGCGAAAGACAAAAGTGACGACATGTGTTGAAATCAATTTTTCCTTCCATTCTTGCTCTTACTTACTGTTCCTTTTACAGCAGATGTACTTTTTGTTGATTTTTTCCCCGCCTTGCAGGATCAGCGGTGGCTCCTAACCTTGGAAACTCGATTGAAGGAGGAGAAACTGACACGTTGATTTACATTCGCCTTGAAGGGCAAAACTCGGCCGTGAAAAATGGATTGAGGAGCAGAAAAAGGCTTCTGAGCTCGAAGACCAGCTGCTGAAGGAAAGGGTTAGGTGAAGTCCTTGAGCAAAGCACAGCAAGTCAAAGCATAGCGAGTTGTAAAGTTGATGTTCAATTTGTATCGCTAGGTTTCTTCGTATCGATTCCCATCTCATTTGCAACTGCTGCAAACATCTTCCAAACATGTTTTTCCGGCGATCAATCTCCGAAAGATGTCTTTTCAGGTGCGCTCGACGATTGGAAGACATGTCCGAAGAGATTCTGCAAGAGAAGGTGGAACTTCTTGTGCCTGTACTAGTCAAGTTCTTACAAAGCTGAATGTGTGGAATAATGGGCCAGCCAGATTCCATTTGATGTAGGCCAAAAGGCTTGAGCTACAGAAGCCAGGGCCACCAGAAAGAGAACGCCAGCAGAAGGAGTTGGGAATAGCTCCTGATTTGTTTCGCTATCAAGCCTGTTTGAGCCTCGACCAAACCCTCCTACAACAAGTTGTAGAAGGTTGTACTCGTGGATCTATGTGGTGTAGTACTGCACGCATTAGAAATGCGTACAATGAAAATGCGTACAATGACTCTTATTGCTTTCACCAATCCACCTATCAAAGTCAAGGAAAGGCCTCAAGAATTGCCCATACCTTCATCTCAGCTGCCAACAAAATATAGTATGCCAGATTGTCATGGCTGCTCTCAGAGTTCGGAGAACCTTCACAACTGGATCCATCACCAATACTGTACTCCTCCATACACTGACTGTTTTTCGGGCAAGAAACACACTGATAACAGACAGTGCTCTACTTCCAAGTGTTCATGTGAGAGCTTTGTGTTCAACACCTACAACCCAATTTGCTCATGGCCATTGTCTGATAATTTTGCCTTGCTTGGTCAATCGGATTCAATGGGGTTGATTTGTGGAGAGAACACAATTTTGTGGAGTTGACAATGCATGAGTGTGGTAGAGGTTACTTCCTCCCCCCCGTATGCCATTTTTGGCTCCAGCTGAGTCGAACCACAGGCGGGCATGGGCGAGTTGGTGGTTTCTGCCATTCCCGAGGACCAGGGAGGTTTCGATCCTCTGGTCATCTTGGGTGTGGTGTGGGCACTGACACTCTTTGCCGGCATCGTAGTCGGGTGGGCGTGCTGTCGTGCACCTGCCCCCCGGACTGCGGCCGGTGAAGACGCCCTGGTCGCCTGGGAACGACTGACGCGGCGCGCCATCAAGTTCGTCAACAAGAGGCGCCGAGTCGGCGTAGCTTTCAACGGCTACAAGAGGTTCACCCTTCGCAACACAGAAGGGTCTCGCCCGACACAGGGCCGTCGCGCACGAAGGAGATCTACCACGCCAGGAGCACCTCTACTCCACGAAGGCCCGGTGGTGAACCATGGACCCCACGGAAGGTGAACTTCAAACCATCACCAACCTGGCGGAAGCTCGCGCTTGGTGCGGGGTGGAAGGACCCCTGGCTGACGCCCTGCATGCAGCCTTGGGGCAACCCGCACGGGTACGAGAGATCGCCCTCATTCCCAGGCCGACTTGGGATCGAGTGGTGACAAACCTACAGATCCAAGATGGAGGAGACCCTAGGCCGCCGCCTCGAGCTCTCACTCCGGTCGAGGAGGCACGGCTGGAATCCTTCAGGAGAGTCTGTCGCCTACGGTCGGGGAGACCCATCGACCTGCCAGGCGATCCTGCAGCGGCCACTCCGGCGGTAGCTCCAGCCCCCTTCCCCGCAGCGGGAGGGGCTCCGGCACCCGCCCCAGGGGGTCCACAGGCTCGCAAGTTGAAGTTGAGCGCAGTCCTCGACCCGACGCTGGACGCAGAGATCCAACCGTTGGGTGATGCTGAAGTCACGGGCATGTACGAGCGTTACCGCAACCGCTATGGAGACTTCCCCAGTGTGGATGCCGACGTGAGTCGTGATCAGTTGGCCGCACTGAGTCAGGTCTTAGCGGCGCACGCGGTCCCGTACGCCGACTTCTCGATCTTTGGCCCGCATGGTCAGCGCCTCCTTCGCCGCCAGACCTTTCAGAGCTACAGCCTCAACGTCTCCACGGGCGAATGGGCCAAGAAAGAGCAGCCTGGACCTGGTTCCTTCTATGAATGGTACAAAGCCTGGAGGTGCTACAGGACTGCACTCCTCCTGTTGGAGGCGGCGGAGGCTGAACGGCTGGATGCCTACGCCGAACACATCCGGGGGTTTGTCACCCAATTCGGAGAGGAGGCGTGGCCGTTCATCTGCAAGGCCGACAGCCGCATGCGCTCTGAGCAGCTCGAAAGGTTGAGGCGGGAGCTAAACGCCAACCCCACCTTCGGCTTCACAGCAGCTGCGCCCTGGAACGCCTGCTACGCCTACGCCGTGAAGGACACAGAGTTCTGGAACAAGGAGCTCACCACGCCAACCACCCTGTTTCTGCCAGGGGACAGGGGCTCGGGAGAACCCAAGCCGTACGGCAGAGGGTCGGCAGAGGCAGCCATCGCAGCGGCACAAGACCCGCAAGCATGCAGAGCGGAGCTGTCGAAAGACATCATGGCGGAGTCGACCAAAGGTCCGGCCGCTTCACGTCAGAAACTTTGGGCTACGCTGGCCGTGACCGCGGGATGGTCAGACCCTTTCCACTTGGACCCAAACATGATCTTCACCGTCATGGGGGCTCTCAAGACTGGAGGGTATCGATCAGCACAGCTCTACCTGGACACTGCGAAGAACTGTCACATTGCCCTCGGTCAGCCATGGGATTGCCAGCTTCAACAAGCCTACCGGTCCGCCGTGCGCAGTTGCAAGCGCGGCGTTGGACATCCCAAGCAGGCGGCTCACCTCCCTTTGGTACAGGTAGCCGAGTTGTTGGGCGACAGTGCTCTAGCCCCAGGCGGTCCAACACATCCAGTGTCAGCGACCATACTCGCATCATGGTGGCTTTTGCGGGAGATTGAGGCATCTCGGGCACGCCGCAAGCACGTGACCATCGAGATAGCCGCACTCAAAGCATCATGGCGACTACCCAGTTCGAAGACGGATCAGGCAGCCCTTGGAGCGACGCGGTCACACACGTGCGCATGCTCCGTGCACACCATCAGGTTGTGTCCTTTCCACGTACTTTTGGAACATTTGGACAGGCTGCCGGACGGACCCGAACAACTTCTTTTCCCAGCTAAAGACGGATTGGAATCCACCAAGAAAGGTTGGGCCGATACCTTTGAGGCAATCGCCAAACGGCTTCAGTTGCCCACGGTGCACGACAACGGGGCACGAGCGTACACTGGACACAGCGCCAGAGTTACCGGAGCCCGGTTCATGGCCATGCGCAACATTGAGTTGTGGCGAATTCAGCTGTTCGGCCGATGGGGGTCGGATGTGTTTTTACATTACATCCAAGATGCCCCAGTCGCGCAATTGGACAGACTGGCACTAGAATCGACCGCGGCCATGTCGGTGCGCAAAGCCCAGGAGGAACTCAGCACACTCCAACAACGCATCAAGGATTGCAAAGCAACCTTCATGCCTCCGGAATCGCAAATGTTGGAAGATTGCGAAGCCTCAGTGCACCTCAGTGTGCCCGATGAAAATCTGCCAGGTGTCAACATTTTAAACACCGCAAAAGGCGGCAGATATCACATCACGCTAATCTATAAGTTAGACATCCACCCACGCCGGTGGCGTACACGTTGCGGTTGGCCCTTTGGCAAGAACCAGGCCGAATACCGCATCTGTAAAGACATACCAGTCAATACTGCCCACCTCCGCTGTAGCAAATGTTTTCCCGGTTCCCGCCCGGCTGCCGCACCCTGCACAGCGTCGGACAATGAGGACACCGACACCTCCAACGATCCCTGCGCGTCAGACGCAAGTGGGTAGGAGGAATTTGGCACGGACGTTGGCGTCGAGTCAAGTGGCATTTGATTGGCGTCCCTGGTTGCCAGTTGATGAAATCCGACTGGTAACAGAGTGATGCGACTCGACGACCAACTTGGAAAATAGTGCTTCGACTCGTTAGGTGGGCGGTAGGGGTGATCACGTTGAGCATTGTCCCTTTGGATCCTTGGGGCCTTGGCATGAGCCCCTAGTAGCTTCCTTGCTCCTAGTAGCTTCCTTGCTCCTAGTAGCGATGCCAGGAGCCCCTAGTAGCTTCTTGTTCCTAGTAGTAAGGCCAGGAGCCCCTAGTAGCTTTTTTTAAAATGTTTTCTCAATTTGTTCTGACCAAAGTTGTGCTGCAGTGCCATTGGCGCTCAAAAGTGGGCTTTCACCGCTTTGCTCACTGAAGCCATGCATCGCTTGCAGCCATAGTTTCCAGATGTGGGTGGCAGGCCTGGCAGGTGGCTGCCTTAAGATCTTGGATTGAACCAAGTCTCAGTCCTCATCTGCTGTTCCTTCTTCACCAAGGCAAACAAGCCAGACCTCGGGCTTCTTTTCCGATTCAGGCACAGTGGGTTGCTCTGTCTTTTCAGCAATTGGCTTCTTTGGTTGTAGCTTGTACAACTTCATAACTTTCAACTGCAATATATAGTTCTAGTATGTTCTAGTTCTATTGCACCAAAATGGCGACAGTAGAGAAGGCTTTGTCAATTTGCTGAGATTGTCGTCAATTGCTGCTCTTCAGGTCATTTGGCAGTCTGCCACATACCCGAGAACTTTGTCACCTGGTTTTGCTAGAAGAAGGCCAGATCTTCTATTTTAAACATAGCAGGCGTTGACCAAGCAATGCCGTTAACAGTTGAAGCGTATGGGGCACTGCAGATACTGCGTGCAGGAAGCCTTGGCAGACACAGCTTGCTTTCTCATTCTGTACATCCTGCTCGCTAGCCACTCTGCGGCAGCGCTGCCGCAACCCGCAGGCTCCTTGGTTGCCAAACTCAGCCATCTTCGGTACAGCTTTTCTGAGACTCAAAAACTCGACTCATGCTGGTCAGGAGCTTTACAGTTCAAGTGGTGCGGTTCAGTCAGATGTACCACGCTTGGAATTTTTGGAGGATGAACCTTGGACATCTCAGCATCTGAGTTTTGCGCATGGAGATGACAGGTTGAAGGGAAGAGGTGACAATCCTGACAACGAGACAACTGCCATAAATCGAACAAGTGCGGTTTTGCTCCTTTGTCATCTTTGTCATAATACTATCTATCAGAGCTCTAATGATCGCCGAGGATCCTACTTGCTACACCATTGGTATCCTGGGAGACTTGCATTTGGATCCTCGAAACATGGAGGATTCCTTGCAAGGGCAGTTGTGACTCACCTGTCAAGTCAAGCCAGACATGTTAGGGGGGCCGCATGCTATACCGCCGGACCAATCTTATAAGTCCACCTGGTGCGCGACCCGCAACGAACAATCGCAAAATCACGCAACCGAAAGCACCTGCTGCTTAGCTTGCAACGAAAGTTGCTTGCCAAGGCACATGAAGCATGCATTGGCAGAAAAACCAAAT